ACTATGGTAGCAACGACCCACGACTAAGCAATAGCCGAAGTAGAGGGGACGACCTAAGAATGTCAGAGCGAAAGCATGTCCTTAGGTCTCGTCGTCTCCTCTAAAGCACGTGACCTATCCCTGTATTATTTTATTATTTTTGAGGGGGTTCTCTTATTATATAAAGGAGAATCCCAATGTTGTAAACGGGGAGATCTTTTCAATAATAAACTATCTTTTCTTTCTATTTCTCTCTCTCTCAACAAGCTTTCTCTTACTCTCTCTCGAATATCCAAGTTGTTGAAACAATCACAAGCATAATATATATTTCTAGGTCTAATTATATTCGATTACGATTTACCTTTGATTCATTTTGATTGTTTTCGCTTACTAATTAGTATCTTTTGAGCCAAACAATTTGTATGTCATCTTTCAAATAAACAATATCGGGTTATTCCATTTGAACTCATCGATAAATGCTTTATCAGTGCAGTTGACAAAAGGCATTAAAATACTGCATTTTAACTACAGTGTGAATTACTGTCTTGTGCACTAAACGTGCACCGCAAAGAAGAAACAATGTTCCTTATATCATTCTTATATCATTCTTGTTACACTTAGTTGAAATGTGTTGGAAGTTGCAATGCTCAACGCTTGCACAATGGACTTCAATATAATTTTAAAATGAATGATATCATTCAAATAATCAGCGGGGACTTTATTTTCCATTTTAAGAAAAAAAAAAAAAAGGAGCAATATATAGTGTCTTCAACCATAGATTAATCCCGGGATTATTTTGGTATTAAAATCCCAGAGATATGCGGAATTATTTTATCCCGCGTTTGGTTGTTACTAATTAATTTAGGCAAACGTTCATACTAAAATAGTAGGATTAACTATTCCGTATATTAAAAAAAGTGGTATAGATAATCCCATGGAATATTCTTATCGATTCCATCCTGGTAACCACACAAACCCTTAGAACCCAATAATTAAAGGATTATAATCCTGAACTCATAAACTTTAAATCTTATCTTGCGTGTCACAAGTTCAAATACTGGCTTAAATATAGACTATCGCCATCCATCTGCTTCTGCATCTCTCAGCAGCCAATGCGCCACTTAGTACTAAATTTTTCAACAAAAAAAGTTTAATTGACATTTTTTTTTCTTCTAACAAATACACTGCAATGAATATTCTAATTTAATAAATAACATAGCAAATAAAATGTACCTAATTAGACTAAATTATACAGCGGCGGAGCTTAAGGCGGTAGAATATATACAATGGCGCTCTGGCGGTGAAGGAGAAGCGGCGGCGGAGGAAAAAACATTAATGTGTGAAGAAGAAAGAGGAGGAAAAATATAATCCGCACAAGTTTATAAATAGCAGAACGCCCAATTTTGAAGAAGTAAAGTAACAGCCTAGCAGGTGGAGGAGTAATATTTAGCAGTATGGCATTTGGATAAGGCAACCTATAATTAATTTTTTTAAAACCCGAAATATCCCTCATCTTTTGGCTTAAATCCAAATTCATCCCTGTTCTTTTACGTAAAGCATTATTAGTCCTAATTTTTCATCATGTTGGATTGTTGGTGTGCTTTTAGTCCCTTTAAAGAAGTTTTATAAATAGCAGATCGACCCCAATTTTGAAGAATTTGATTAACAGGAGTAGTATTATTATATAACTGTAGGTCGCCTGTACAGCCAACATTAGGGGTGTACAAAGGAAACCGACAAACCTCACCAACCCGATAATTCGAGTCAAACCGAGAAAAAGAACCCGACTATGATTTGGTGTTGGAAAAATAAACCTGACCATAATTGGTTTGGTTTGGTTTAACTAAAGAAAGTCAAACCGAAACCAAACCAACCCGGCATTACATATATAGAAATTTTAGATATATTTAATATATAAATATAATTATCGTAATGTAATTTATAAATATTTTTTAAACCTTTTCATAATTTTATTTTTTAAAGTATTATTTCAAGGTTGGACTTAAACTTTTTGAATGTTCCAATAAGTTTTATAGCCATTAATATATATTAGAAGAATTAAATAATGCTAACAAAAGCCCAAACCAAAATCAACAATACTAATGCTAACAAAAGACATCAATTCAATACTAGGAACGATAATGTATTGAATATCTATTATTGTTTTGCAATGATTTAGATAAAAATGCATAACCTATTTTTATTTTTTCATTAGTGTTTAGTCATGTAATTAATACTCCCGCACTCCGTTTCGGGATGTTCATCGACTGGATAAAGAGTTTCCACTGACGGGGAGGTTCTTTATAAGTCTACTTATTTTAGCATGATTTAATACTTTTAGATTGTGCTTATTTTTATTATGGCTTTTAATTAGCAATATTTATATTACACAATTGTATTGTCTTTATTGTTGAATATTTCAGGATAATGTCATGACATATCTCATATTTTTGTATTATTTTCTTGGAAAATATATTATATAGTTGTGTCTTACTAGGATTAAAGAAATATTTTGAGCACAAGTTATATATTTTGTGCTATGAAGATTTTAACGAAAAGCAACCCGAAAAAACCCGAATAACCCGAAAATCTGAGAAAAATTGAGATTGAAAAACTCGAGTTTTATTGGTTTGATCTTTAAATTTAATAACCCGACACAATTGGTTTGGTAATTGCAAAATCCGAACCAACCCGACCTATGTACACCCCTAGCATCCTATGATTACATTCTTAAAAAGACCAAATCACCCCATTTTTTAGATTAAATTCGAAGTCATCCCTATTCTTTCACATAAAGCATTAATGGCCCTAATTGTTTATTATATATATTGGTGCGCTATTGCCAATGAGAGTTTCAATACCCTCTTCCAGCAAAGAAAACTATTTCCACTTCAATGGATATCTCTGCATGCCCGATGATACCCCCCCCCCCCCCCCCCGACCCAGCTTCTACATCTGTGAGAGAAGCTAACCCCAATTTTGATCAATTACCTTCTTATGTTGGAACCCTAACTAACAGAGACTCCACCTACAATAGAGCTCGGGTCAAATTACTTCCAAGACAACATGAAATTGTGAATGGGAAAGCTGGGGCAGTCTTCACCAAAGAAGAGCATGACCTCTTAGCTGATACCTGCAAATGACCATTGTGGGTAAGTTCATTCGCACCCTCCCGTCAATTGAAAGAATCAGAATAGAATTTGCGAAAGTTATCAAAGTCAAAGGAAGTCTAAAAATTGGGGTTAAAGACCTAAGACACGTCTTCATCGATGTGGAGAATGAAGAAGACTTCAAAAATATTTATTCAAGAGATTTCATACATCTGGATGCGAACAACAGTATGAAAATAGTCAAATGGACACCCGACTTCCAACCGGATGCAGAAACTACACTGGCTCCAGTCTGGATTAACTTACCGGACCTTCCATGGCACTACTATGAGTGGGATGCCTTGTGTCGTATTGTTGGGCCGATTGGCACCCCTATTGTGATGGATAAAGCTACTCTATCAAAGACTAGACCTACTACTGCTAAGTTGAGGGTTGAAATCGATTTAGCCAAACCTCTAATTACAGAGGTCTTTGTGGAAACTAGAAACTCAAGAGATGAGCTGGAAATGTTTGAACAAAAAATTGAGTATGAGACTATCCCTGCCTACTGCTTCCACTGTAAATTACAGGAGCATTCCGAGGAGAAGTGCAGGGTCCTTCACCCAGAGCTTCAAAAAAATCCAGGAAGGAACAGAAATCTTTGGTCTAATGAACAGGGGAATCAGGAAACCAATGGGATATCAAACCGGCAAGCCAAATGGGACAATAACAGTGCTACATCTAGTGCGCAAGCCAATCACCCAAAGCAACGAGAAGACCTTCCTAAAGATGCCAACAACAACACAAATATGAAACAGGCAGAGGTACAGAAAGATCCAAACATAAGAAGTGTCAATGAGGGTTGGCATAATGTCGAGAATAGAAGAAGCAGGGGAAAGGGCACAAAGGAGTTGACTTCAAAGAGAGTAGTCCCAAACCCAATGTTCAGCAAAAAAAATCATTGAGGAAGGATCCAATATGTTCGAGTCACTTAAGGATTCAGCAGAATCTGTAGAAGTGGAGACCACTCAATACTTGGGAGATGACAAAGGAGATCCAAGTATGGAAATAACACCCCAACAAGTCCATAAAAGCACCAAATGGGACAAAGCTAAAGATTCAAAGGAGAAGAAAAAGGCTAATAAGAAACAAGCAAAGCTTAGTGTCAAAACGACTAAAGATGGTTCCTCTTCAAGGCCCAATGTTGTGGAGGAATTCTTACAGGAAGCCATGGCTAACTTGGTCTGTGTGAATGAAAAAGGTGCTAAAGATATTGACAACAGGAGAACAAAATTCAAGAACAAAATCTCGATACCTGAGAATACCCTGCAACAGAATGCAATGAAGGTGGGGCAGAGTTATAGTAGCAGTGGTACATTATCTTGGCCGGCTCTGAACTTTCCTCAAGGCAAGATACTAGAGAAAAATAAGAACAAAGAAAAGGAAAAGAAGAGGTAGAACCTGGGGAGTTAGCCATTAACTGGGAGCTGAGGCCAGCCCCACCGGATCTTGGAGCCTACAATCAGAAGGAACCACCCATCAAAAGCAAACAGAACCAAAACATGGAGGCCATGGAAAAGGAGATCAGAGATCAAGACATGATCTTAGATAGCTTAGATGAGACTCTTAATACCTCAAAATCTGATGGAGAAATTGAGGACCTAGAAACTACTATCATGCAACATTCTCAAAGTGTCACAAAACACAACAACCTATCCCCTAGAAACAACCATAACACTGGTGGAAGTCACTTCTTCAAACTCGACAAACAAACTTATCACAAGGATGATCAAACAACCTTACTCACTGATGTCTCCAATGATTAACATAATTTCGTGGAACATTAGGGGGATAGGGTCCAAGGGATCACTGGAAAGACTTCAAACTATCAAACAACAATTTCACCTCCCTCTCATCTGTCTTCAGGAACCGATGGTCGACAATAGCAAATTGGAAAAGTATAAAAGAAGACTTGACATGCAACATGGCTTTCACAATTGTTCCAACAAAATTTGGATCTTGTGGAACAATGATATCACTGTGGATATTATCATGGACAAGGAACAACACGTTCACTTCAAAGTCACTCACAATAATGGTCCGGGCTTTTTCCTTACTGTGGTCTATGCTAAATGCACTGAAGATCTTAGAACGGAGCTATGGTCAGACATGAAAAACATTTTGAACTATATCCAGGAGCCTTGGGGGGTCTTTAGAGACTTCAATGTAATCACCACAAGCGATGAAAAGAAAGGTGGCAGATGCTACATAATGGAGGAGAGTCTGGATTTTATTGAGTGCCTTAACGAATGTGGGCTCCAAGATGCGGGTTTCATTGGATCCATCTTCACATGGTGTGATAATAGAGACCCTCCGTCTACCATTTGGAAGAGATTAGATAGGATGGTCTATAATTCTGCCTGGTTTGATACTTTAAATGCTACTACTGTCACTCATCTATCTAGGGCATGTTCTGACCATGCCCCTCTTGTTGTCAAAATCAATAACGAAACCACTCAACATATCAAATACTTCAAGTTCCTAAACTTCTGGACCGACCACCATGAGTACATTCAAACTGTTCAGAATGCATGGGAGGAAGAAGTCATTGGAAACCCCATAAACATTCTTCATCAGAAACTCAAAAGGACCAGCAATTCTCCCAGCACCTGGTCAAGACAGACCTTTGGTGATATATTTGAGGAACCTAAGAGACTTGAGGCCCAGCTAAGGATTCTGGAGGATAACTGTGTGAAGAACAACACACCTGACAACAGATGTGAACTATCAAGATGCAAAGCTGAGTTTACTAGATACCTCAAGATCCAAAACTCTATGCTAAGGCAAAAAGCTCGGATCAAATGGCTGGATGAGGGTGATTCTAATACTGCGTACTTCCATGGGATTATTAAAGACAACAGACGGAAACTTGCAATCAGGAAAATCAAGGATGATCAAAACCAATGGCTGGAGGGAAATGATGCTGTTGTAGAAGGAGCTATCAGATTCTATCAACAATTGTTTACTCAAGACAATCGATATGATGATTTTTCTTCCCTCAATTGCCTAGAGAGATGTATCTTTGATGAAGACAACTCCATGCTCACCGACCTCCCGTCCCTTCAGGAAGCTAAAAATAATGTGTTTTCTATTGATGCAGATAGTTCCCTAGGCCCAGATGGCTTCAGTGGATGTTTCTATCAAAAGACATGGCAAGTCATTGGCCATGATGTTCATAAGGTAGTAGCGGCTTTCTTTAATGGAGCTACTCTCCCTAAATTCTTCTCCCATACGTGCCTTGTTATGGTTCCTAAAGTGGATCACCCACAATAGTTCTCTGATTTGAGACCTATTAGCCTCTGTAATGTCTCCAGCAAAATTATCTCTAAAATCCTTAATGTAAGGCTTGCCACAATCTTGCCGAGGATTATATCTAGGAACCAAAGCGGCTTTGTAAAGGGCAGAGGCATTACTGAAAATATTCTTCTTGCCCAGGAAATTATTAACGACATTGGCAAACCTAGCAGGGGAGGAAATGTGGTCTTAAAGTTAGATATGACTAAGGCCTATGATAGAGTCTCCTGGAATTATCTATGCATATCCCTCAGGAAGATGGGGTTCTCAGAACTCTGGATCAGCCTCATTCACAACTACATCTCACATAATTGGTATTCGGTGACTGTGAATGGTATTAGACATGGTTTCTTTAAGTCCAGTAGAGGGTTGAGGCAAGGGGACCCCCTTTCCCCCTCCCTTTTGGTCCTGAGTGCTGAGCTTCTCTCCAAGATGCTTAACAATCTACAATCCACTACTGGCTGTAATGGTTTCTATATGAATTGCAATGGCCCTTTCATCAATCATCTTGCTTTTGCGGACGATACCATTTTGTTTTGTAATGGTAGCAAAAATACCCTTAGAAAGGTTCTGGATACTCTTACCAAATATGAGATGGTGTCAGGGCAACTTATTAACAAAGGCAAGAGTTGCTTTGCTTTAGCACCCAATCCCAGGAACTCTACTGTTAATAGAATCAAAGAGATCACTGGTATGAACCATCAACTCTTCTTATTAAATACCCGAGATGCCCTTTGATTACTGGAAGGAAGAAGATCTCTCACTTTTCTGGTATGGTTGACAAAGTCATCAGTAGGATCAGAGGGTGGCATACAAAAATTCTCTCTATTGGTGGAAGAGTTGTCCTGATTAGGCATGTGTTGCTAACTCTTCCTATTCACGTGTTGGCAGCTGTTAACCCTCCCAAAGGGACTCTCGACATTATTGAAAAATATATCGCTTGATTTTTTTGGTCTGGTCAAGACACGGGGTGTAAATATCATTGGATCTCCTGGCAAAATCTCTGCTTTCCTTACAAAGAGGGTGGCACTAACTTCAGTAGACTAGTAGATAATGTCAAGCCTTCAAGGCTAAACATTGGTGGGCTCTTAGAACCTCTAACTCCCTATGGAGTGAGTTCATGAAGGCTAAGTACCTATCTGGGAATCATCCTTGTAATGCGCTTTGGCAAAATGGGAACTCTCACTGGTGGAAAGCATTGTGTGAGATCAAAGAAATAGCTGAAACTAATATCCATTGGACTGTGGGGAATGGTAATGTATCCTTCTGGTATGACAACTGGACACAGTTTGGTCCCTTATATCAGCTAATCCCCGCTAATATTAACCACAACAATATCCAATTGAATGAAGTTCTCAAAGAGGGAACTTGGGATTGGAATTGTCTGCAAAATCAATTGCCTGACCACATCAAAGACAAGATAAATGCTCTCAATATCAATATCGATAACACTACTTAAGACATTGCCATTTGGATACCCTCCTCTACGGGTGTTTTCTCCATTAGCTCAGCATGGGATATCTTCAGGCAAAGAAGAGCTATCAACATCTCTGAGGGCCAGCTTTGGCACAAGGATATTCCTACTGCAGCCAGAGTGACAAAGTTTGGTTTGATTCTTGTTGCGAGATGTCACTGTTGTGACACTAATGACATGACCGCTGAGCTTGAGGATGTGGACCACCTTTTCTGCAAAGGAGACCATGCTACAAAGCTATGGGACTATCTTGCTAGTCCCCTGGGCATTCAATATAGAAACATGAACCTTAAAAATGATTTTTCTTAACTGGTGGAATCTTCACACTACCAATCCCATTGCTAAATACATCATCAAAACTCTCCCGCTCATTATTTGTTGGAAATATGGAGGTCAAGATGTAGATCTAAATATGAACCAGAGAGACCTTCGTTATATCGATAAAAAACTAACATTTTAAATACTATGTCAAGGGCAGAGATTGGGAACAGCTGGAACAATCTATGTCAAGCCTGTGAAGCTCCCTTGTACCAAAGAACCAGACTCATGGTGAGGTGGATCAGACCACCTGGTACTCAAGCTAAACTCAATAGTGATGGTAGCTGTATTTAAGGACAATGTGGAGGAGGAGGCCTGGTCAGAAATAAAGAAGGAAAGATCATCTTTGCTTATGCCCTCCATATAGGACCAGGCACCAGCAATCTCGCAGAAGTAGAAGCAATGCTTTACGGTCTAAAATGGTTGCAAGTAAAGGCTTCTACATGGCCTACGGAGACACTGATTCGATGCTTCTAACAAAATGCATCAATAAGGAATGGAAGCCTCATGGAGAATAGCTAAACAAGTCAAGGATATCCAGAAATTAGTGAAAAATTATGGATTTAACGTTAACCATTGTTATAGGGAAGCAAACGAGCCAGTTGATAAACTGGCAGCCCTTAGCCATGGTGTGAATGGAATCCATACCTTCAACTCCTTCTCTGAGCTTCCTAGACAAGTTAGAGGCATGGTTAACATGGATAGGTAGAGCTATCCAACCTTCAGGGTTAGACACCCAAAAGCTGCACATATTGTATATGACCCCCCATAAACTACTCGTCATCAGCTCTTTAACTTTTGTTAGGACAATATATATATATATATATATATATATTCCTCCCTATTCCTGCAGAAAATAGAGCACCATCAGAGTAACTCCAAAACACATTCCAGTAATTCCTCCGACAATTTGGTGTCACATGAACCGTATATGAATAGCAACAGATTCAAGGACTTCAATAGAAAAAGAAAATAAGGAAAAAAGAAATAAAACTATTGTTTATTGGGTTTAAGTTGTAGAAAATAAGCTTAAAATTAGAGTTCCATTCCTTTTTTCCTTTTTTATTTTCGATATGGTGAAAATCATGGCTATGAAAAGATGATAGGATAAGGAATAAACACCGTTAGAGTAATGCTAATGAATCACTTTTTCTTTGTTCTTTGTTGTTATCATCTCATAGTAAGTAAATTGAAGTACTATTATTGTTATATAAATAAATTTCCTTTTTTGCTCCTATTTGTTGTTATCGTCGTGATTATACTTTCCTCAAAATCTCTAATATATAAGATACTATTGATTTTTTATATATATTTAGTTCGAAGAACATATCCATGACTCCACCATAAATAGATGATATATACAGCCTGTATCATACAGGGAGCGGGACATCAACTACTTTTCTGTTAAAAACTCATATGCAAGAAGGTTTTTCTATTGAGGAATAAGCACCTTTCTGGGCAAAAGTTCTAAGCGCGGAGCATCAAAAGTTCATTTGTTAGATATGTTGCACCTTAAATTGCAGTTTTCCATCACAAATACGAATACTTTTTAGAATTTGTATGTCTAAGAGAGTTTTTGGTTTTAACTTAACGCAATTCTAATATTAGGGGTGATGCCTCTGCATTCTTGAAATAATTCCTTCAATTTGTCGCTTTACATATTTTATCACCTCCAACTATGTAACTCCAGCCTTATTCTATCTATTATTCATATCTCAATCAATTTCCTTGGGAACCCAATTTTTTCTTAAATTTTAACTAGTTCTAAATCAATCAAGAACCAAGAATACAGTACGATTGAAAGCACCATAACAACCCTCTAAGTTCATAATTTTCTGTTTTGATGCTCTAATCATCTTCATCAAACCTCAGCTTAAGTTATTTTTCATACTTTGAGCCCATAAGATCCAAGATCTTAAAGCCTCGAAACACCTCGTTCGATCTGTCTTGCAACAGATCCGGAGGGAGAAAAAAGCCTCCTTTGAGATGAAGTCTATCATATGATCTATTTGGTTCAACAAAAATAAGACTCTCACAATTGTCCCACACGATACAACTATAACAATTTTTCATAACAAATAATTTTTTAAAACATAACTTGCATGCAACTGACAACCAAACAGAGCCGGTCATGCGAGGCTGATACTTACCAGCCAATCAGAAAACATAAATTTCATGTATCACCATGGATTCAGTTAAACTTGAAGAAAAGCTGAAATCCTTGATGAGATTTGAATTCTACATCTAAGTGAGAGCAAGCTTAAGCTTCTGCCCCCACAGAAAATAATTTTCATGTGTCACGAGATCCAATCAACAGAATTAATTGCAGCACAACTGGATGAGCTACTAGCGACACACAAATCTTAGAAAAAAATAATTAAGACAACATAAAAAAGTTGACATTGTCAACTAATTACAAAACAAAATGTAGAAGTAATCTTCCTTTTTTTTTTTTTAACTTTTCAACTAAATACCAATACAAAAAAGTGGAAGTAAACGGAACATTTACATATAGATCGATATATACTTTCATTTTTTCTTAATTTCTCGACTAATTGATAATAGGTGAATTGAACTATGATTAAACCCCAAAAGAACCACTTTCTTGTAGAGTTTTTATTGTAAAAGTGATAGCAAAATGCTCTTATTAGTACTTTTCATGTTTTGCAGGTTACATACATTAGAAGAAGGCTATGGAAGATTTTTTGATCATTTATAGAAGAAAAAGAAGCCAATCGCATCAAAGTCGCCGAGTGAACCAATTGAAATACACAAACGAGGCCTGGAGGTGAACTGCCGCGATCCCAGCGTGGGCGCGGTAGGACCGCTGTGAGCTGTCAGATGAGATTCAGAGAGGCCGGTTGGCCGCGGTCCTAGCGTGGGCGCGGTAGGACCGCGGCAGGCGACGGGAACTTAAGGGATTGAAGTGCAAATTCCGGAATTCTTAGCCCAAAACCCTATTTAAATATTAGAACTCGCCCAAAGGAGGCATGTAACATTATTAGAGAGTACTTTGGCAAGAAAAACAATTGTGAGAGATCACCTAAAACATCTTTATTTCTTTTCTTCTTTATTTTCTTGCAATTCATGATTATGAATCTTTTAGTATTTGATTTACCCATTGTCATGAGTAGCTAAAAACCTTAACCCAAGGTTTTGGTGAAACCCGTTGGGGATGAATTGGTTG